CTTTGAATCAATGAGTCGATGGTTTTCCTTAGATAGAAAACTTTGAATCAATTTGACTGGATGATCCGATTGAATCATCTTTGTTAAGTGCCATGACATGACATGTGTTGTGAATTGGCGCTATATAAATAAACTGAACTGAACTTTGACTCTGAAAAGTATTCAAGGATAATCCATAAAAAATAGAAGCAGGCAAGCTGATGCAAATGCAAAAAAAAAGGGTTTTCAACTAGTAGATACTACAGATTCAGCTGGTGCTCTTCCAGCTGCAGCAAAGGATGGTATTAAGAAAACCCATGTCTGCCGATGCTTAAGTGCAGCACCAGAGTACTGAATAGCTTATTGTTGATAGGAAAGTTGTGTATTGGGTCAGCATCAAGATAAAACATATACTGTTTGTGTCACTGATAGAGAAAAGAAACTTCAATTGAAGATTGGATTTTATTTTAGAAATAACTTATATTTCACATTTTTTGCAAAGTCAGTTGAAGCGACTCTCATCTCTAACCTACTAATTTAGAGACTTCAAAGAAAATGTATTGATTTAAAGCTTGGATCTTACATACTTTAAATAAGGACAGGAATAATGCATTGTATGGGTAATATGTCCATCAAAACTTCAATTATGTAAATAAATATGACCTTAGATTGTAATATGCAGCTTTTATGCTTGCCGGATTAGTGTAGAAATAAAGATACAGAAAGAAATTATTTTATTTAATTCAACTAGAATATCAGAATCATAAATAAATCTTAAATCAATTTTCTCTTCACTTTATTTTATTTTAAAACTGTATTATTCCTGAAAAATAAAAACATCCAAACTAAAAGAAATCTTCAACGTGCATTTCATCACTCATATTCATTCACTAACTAATGTTGTCTTTGTTTTCTTTGGTCTTGCGTTTCTTTTCCTCTGGCGATGCTTTGAAGATGCTGGCTCTGTAGTACTGGAGCTCCTTAATGCTCTCCTTTATATCGTCTAAGGCTCTGAAACAAAAAGAGATTATGTAGAGTTTTAAAATGACAATGCTTTGGTACTGAATAACTATTATACAAATGTTGCCTTTTATGAGGAGGTAGGGAGGACCTCTTCTCTACCAGAGCTGTGCCAAACTTAAACAAACATCTCTGATAACACACTTATGATGGGAATATTGGATGGAGTTTAGCGGATGATGTAGAGCAGGGTCACCAACGTGGTGCCCGCGGGCACCAAGGGTCCCTCCAGAACCACATGAGGTGCCCTCAATATCTTCAAGAAAAACATCAACTCACCAGTGGGCTAAATTTGAAATTATATTTTATTCTGTTGCTCTTCTTTATCATGCATTTATAGAGCATTTAATCGTAATGATCATATAGAGCAGGAGTAACCAATTAAAAATCAGTGGGGTCTGAATAAAGAAGATCAACAACCAGTAAAGGTCTAATTATGATCTGTTACTTGAAACAGAATTTAAAATTAAAATAAAATGAGGTTTTTATGCATCCATGATATACATACAATATTTAAATAATATATATAAAAAAAGTTTTTTCCATTTTAAAATCAAGTGTTTTTTGAAGTAGAGAACAAGACACACAAGACAAAACGTCAAGATTGGGCCAAGAAATATTTGAACACTGATTTCTCCAAGGTGTTTTGGTGTGATGAAATTAGAGAGTGTCTTGATAGGCCAGATGGATGGATGGATGGATGGGCACCAGGCTGGATCAGTAAAGGGCAGCAAGATCGACTCAGACAGCAGCAAGGTGGAGGTGGGCTGGTATCACCAAAGATGAGCTTGTGACGCCTTTTCTGGTTTATGATGGTGTCTAGATAAACTCCCAGACCTACTGCCAGTTTCTGGAAGACACCTTTTTCAAACAGTGGTACAAGAAGAAGTCGCCATCATTCCAGAAAGACATGATAATCATGCAGGACAATGCTCCGTCACACGCATCAAAAGACACAGCGTGGCTGGACAGAAAAGTCTAAAAGGAGAAAAAATAATGACATGGCCGCTTTGTTCATCGGATCTGAACCCCATGGAGAACCTGAGGTCCTTGATGAAATTTGAGATCTACAGGGAGGAAAACAGTGTCTAGGAGGCTGTGGTGGCTGCTGCACGCAATGTGGATCACAAACAGATCAAGACACTGACAGAATCCATGGATGGAAGGCTTTAGAGGG